TGAAGAACATAAATGTCTTTAAAGATAGGAATTAAGAGTTCAACAATGTATGAGGAAGACTTAATGACTGATATTTGATATCTGCGGATTATGTAAATACGAAGTTAATGAATTTTAGAAAATCTATGTTTGTTATTAAAAAAACTTGAGTAACCGAAATTCGATTATCTGATATTTGATTTGGGTGATTGGAAGACTTGATTGAGTCGAATTCAACTTAATTGGTAATTGACAGTGGCAAATTTATACATCCGATTATCTAATATTGAAGTAGGCCTCAGCAAATCAACTCGGTTAGGTATCTCTCTGCAACAACTTCAGAAATTGTTTCTTTTAGCGGTTCCACAAAGCCTTCAGCCATCAAAGTCTAATGAGCCTGTTCCGCAACAATATATGAAACATTGTTTCAATCTTTAAGGCAAATCAGGGTAGCTAAACTATGAAATATACTTGAGCCTCTCAAAATACGTATTATTTTCACTTAGCTCCCTGTTTAAGTTATTATAAACTTCATTCCATTCTTCAATAGAGTTCTTGGAAGCCATTAAACCTCCCATAGCCACAATAGCTAATGGCAAGCCTTCACATTTTGCAACCAGCTTACTTGCTGAAGATTCAAGATATGTCGACCCTTGCCAACAAAAGCTTTCTTGGAAAAAAGAGCCAGACTATTATCAAGTGGTAAGGGTTTGAGCTGAAGGGTATCAGAATGGAGTTTGCCTCGGCAACAAGGGCTTTCGGACTTGTGCCAACTCCATTGAAGAACATTAGTGTCTTTGATGATCGGAATTAAGAGTTCAACAGTTTATGGAAAGACTGAATTACTGTTGGGTTAGGTACCTCAGGACATTATACATATGCAGAGTATGGTAAATTCAAGAACACCAATTAAATCCAATCTTACAAAGTTTTGAGGCTATGATCATAGCAAATTATATTACACAAACCAAGAAACCAATAACAAGACACATACGTATGTACACCACATTGCTTGTTCATTCAAACCATCTCGTTATTTTGAATACAGCTTCGGTGCCTTTTTGTCTACTTAACATGATGCCCGTGACTGCTTGTTCATCCATCCTTTCAAGTCTCCATATTTTCTCCAAAAGCCAAGGCGCAACACTGATCAAACAAACTTGTTTTAGATCAGGTTGATGTTCCCAATCATGGGGCAATGTCGTGAACTCTTGGCAATAAAGGATATATAGATCTTGAAGAACAGGCATGACTCCTTTATTGATCACAATTTCTTTCAACCGAGGACTTCCCCCAATTGTTAAAACCTTAAGCTTTTGGAATCCTTCAAGGAAGAATAATTTCTCTCCCTCATATGCATTTACCATGGAAAAGTGTCTTAGATTAGGCAATGCTTGAATGCGAGCAAGAAAATCATCCCTCAATCTAGACCAATGTAAATATAAATATGTGAGGTTGTTAAGCGAGTTAAACCAGTGCGGTACCTTCTCCAATTTCCCCGCTAAAAAAAGATCTGCAAGGTCAGGGGGAGCTGATTCAAGTGCGTCCATCTTCAGTAGTTCATCTTCATTACATGATTTCACCCCTAAGGATTCAAGGTGCACCATTTTTGAAATGGCGACGCACAAATTTTTCTCATCAGTTTCATGGACATTGCCAACTTTAAGCTCTCTCAATAGTGTCATTTTTCTGAGTTGTTTGATGAAATCGCCTCTTGCTTCCACAGAGTTCAAAATTTGCAAATTGTTTAGCAAACAAATGTTGGATGGAACTACTATGCCGATCCAACAATCAAATTCCATTCTGTTGATGTTCAGACGATAAGCAATTAGATGTCGAAGATTTTTCAGCTTCACAATTTCTGCAGGAAGCTCTTTGATTTGAGTCTCTCTCATATCTAAAGACTGTAAGTTGTAAAGCTTCCCGATGGATTTTGGAAGCTCTTTCACTTGAGTTCCTGTTAGGTTCAGATATCTCAAATTGAATAAATACACCAATTCATGCGGAAGTTCATCGATCGGAGTGTCTTCTAAATCCAACACTCTCATCAATTTAAAACCAGAGGGCAGTTTATTGAATGAGGATTTAGAGGTTTCATTAACAGCAAAAACAAACAATGTACGAACCCGATATAGTGCAGCCTTGCTTTCAGATTTCATCTCTTTCTCCTTAGCTTCAATCGACCAACGACGGATTCCGTTATCTTCTACTTCTTCTATCCCATCAGATTTGACAACAAACTTTACGGATTTCGATATGGAAACTGCAAACTCCCGAAAAATGTCGTGCATCTTACATTCTTTAAGCCTCCCTGATCCATTCCTACTAACAATTTGAAGCAGGCCTCTGCAAATCAACTCAGTAAGGTATCTCCCTGCAACAACTTCCGGAATTGATCCTTTACAAGGTTCAATAAAGCCCTCAGCCTCCAAAGTCTAATTAGTCTGTCCCGTCTAATGACATAATCTTCTGGGAATATACAACAATATAGGAAACATTGTTTGAGACTGTAAGACAAATCATGGTAGCTAAGCAATGAAATATACTTGAGCCTCTCAAAATATGTATCATTTTCGCTCAGTTCCCGATTTAAGTTGTTATAAACTTCATTCCATTCAGGAATCGAGTTCTTGGAAGCCATTAAACCTCCCAAAGCTACAATAGCTAATGGCAAGGCTTCACATTTTGCGACCAGCTTACTTGCTAAAGATTCAAGATATGGTGGGCATTGTCCACCCTTTCCAACAAAAGCTTTCTTACAAAAAAGGGCCAGACTCTCATCAAATGGTAAGATTTTGAGCCGATGGATGTGGTTTACAGCTCCAAATGTAAAGGAAGCAACTTCTTCCTTTCGCGTTGTGAGCAAGATTCTGCTTCCATTCATATTGGCAGGCAAAGCTATGCTGATATCTTGCCAAAACTGGTTGCTCCAAACATCATCTATCACAATTAGATATCTCCTTGGCTCCAAGAAGCTCACTAGTGACTCCAACAATTCTCTATAGTTCATGGAGTCTAGGTTGATTTTCGGCTCAATTTTTTCTTTCGCCTTGCCGTAGAGCTCTTTAATCATGGACTTGAATAGGTCTGTGACAACATATTGTTGTGAGACAGTGATCCAGACACAACAATCGAAATGTTGCTTGACAACTTGCTTGTTGAAAGTGTTGGCGACCAGAGCTGTTTTACCTAAACCACCCATCCCTACCACAGAAGTAACGGTCCTTCGAAGCTCTTGATCCATCAACCATCCTATTAGCTCCTGTTGTGCCTTATCAATCCCAACAAGATCATCATCTTTAAGGAAAAGAGCAGATTCACTTAGATTTTTCACCCAGTTGTTACGATGATATTCTCCACCAATTTGGTCATTAGATTTTCTCGATTCCGAACAAAAAACTCGGTATCGTTGGTTTCTCTCTGCAATGATTTTGATCCTCTTGTTAATGTTTAGTAACTTGACAGCTACTCGACGCCTGACCTTCAGATTGTTCGGAAAATGAATGAGCTTCAAGAAGAAACTCGAGGGCTTGCCCCTCCATTGTTGTTGCTTGTTGGAGTGGTACATGAATTCATCGACTACCTCTTCGACTTCGTAGCAATGTCTCTGACACTTGCAACCCACTGGTTATCCATTTCATTGATTGCTACTCCTGATCTTTTCTCAGAAACCTCAAGGAAAGCTTTCATGGCATTGAGCTCAAGCTTGATTTCATTGATTTCAGCTCCAACTTCTGTCAGCAACAAGGCTTCATTTTCTAAAAGAGAGAACCTTGGTGGTTATCAGATCTACAGTGCTTGATAACTCCATTGTTTGAAGTAAACAAAGTTCCAATTTCAAAGGGGCAGAATAGTTTTTAGATGAAAATTTTTCAAAGGCTTGACAATATCAGATCTGTATCTCTGCAAATGAAATAAGTTCCCGTGAAAAGCTTTGACTCACTAATAAAGTTGAAAGTATTACATAAATAAAGTTTACAGTGCCATGGCAGTCAATTCCTTTTTCCGTTGAGGCTCGAATGACAGTCAAGGATGAGAAATAGATCTGTGATTATTGCAGATTGAACTAGTACTAGTATTTTAATGGCCACCCTGATCGAAAGCCGTAAAATATTGTTTTTCAAGTGCAAGTTGATGTGTTGATTAAATCAATGAGAGCATTAAGTTTTAAAAATAATTTGTTTTGGGTGTCCACTGTCCAAAAGCCAAGGCATCTTTGAAAAATTAAAAAAAGACAAAAGTCCCATTTATAAGATACATAAAGTAACATCTCGAGCGTCACCTTTTTGAAAAATGGAGAATATTAATTCTATATAAAAAAGACAAAAAAGAGAGGAGCTTTTAGAGTTTATAAATAATGGCACCTATATCTTTTGAGAATAAATAATAGTCTCGAGATCTATTGGTGAAATCTTGATGACGACGTGACATATATTATTTTTTATATTTGAATTTCTCATATGAATCTGACTTATTTTTATGGTCTATGAACTTTTATATTCAAAATTGAATCTATCATCCATTTTAATTTAAATTTAGAGATTGTCCCCGGAAGTTCATTTTTCTATTCTCGTCCTTATTTATGATTTAATTTTTTTGAAACTCTCTTATATCAATAAAAATATAATATAAGATTTTTATTTTTTAATGCTCCGTGATTTAATTATGAGATGTACGACTAATATCCTCAAAAAAATATTTTTAATATTGCATGTCATCGAACTATTTCAAACTTAATGTTTGAATGACTAAAAACTAAATTAGAAAAAATTAATTCTACAATTGAAGAACACAAATAAAACAGTAGATGAGTAATGAATTATTTAGACGGATCCGGTCTAATGAGCAAATAAATGATTTTAAAATACTTTAAGGGTCGGCCTAATCTATTCGGATAACACTTTTCGGCCCAAGAAGATCCGAGTCGGTTTCGTAATTATAATTTCTAATCCGTTTCTTACTTTTATCATTTTATGCTTACCTTTTAGGAATAGAAGCATAAGCAGAAAACCTACTAAATCACCTTTCTCTCTCGTATTTTATCTCTGAACCCGTCACCGGCCGCTTTTCTTTCACGACAAGTTTCGGCTGAAGCCGCCGTACTTTCCGCCGGAAAACTCTATTATTCTCCGATTCGTTATTCATCTATCTCTTTTTTGTTGCCTTTTATTTTGCTTTGCGAGAACCCTAACTCCTCCGTCGAGATCCGCCACATCTGACATTATTTCCGGCTTCTATTTTTTATTGATTTAATACCATTTTCTTATACATATCCGATCTGTTTGAGGAAAAAAAGAGGATTGGGTTGGAGCTTTTTTGTTTGGTTTAAGCTTTGATATTTGGCTCTGATCGGAGTAGTGTTATAAGGCTGTTGGAATGGCTGGGGGGTCTTCTTTTGATACCCTTGCTAACGACGATGATGGTGAAGTAGTCACGGTAGTGAATGAGGAGAATGACGACGATATGCTTGGTAAAGCTTTGAAAGGGAAAAGGAAGAAGTCGAAAGGGGCCAAGAAGGGTGGGAATCGATTTGCACTTGATGAACTTGACGAGGCTAGTGAGAAAGTTGATGAGATGAAAGCCGAGGAAGAAGATGTTATTCAATTTCTTTCTCGGATAAGAAAAAGAAATCATCTAAAAAGAAGGGAAATATGTTTGGAGGATAAGCTTTTGATGCAATAGCTGCCGAAAATGATGACGGGCAGGTGGTTGATGACGATGACGAGGAAGAGAGTAAAGTTGAGGATGATGATTATCCCTTTACGGGGAAAAAGAAGTCAAAGGGTGGAAAGAAGGATGGTGGAAGTAGGTTCACCGCCGCCGCATTTGATGATTCTGAAAACGAAGAGCGTGTGAAAAAAGATGAGGAAAAGATGTTCCTTCATTCCCTTTACCAGATAAGAAAAAGAAAAAATCGAAGTCTTCTAAGAAGAGTGGTAATCCCTTCAGTGCAGCATTGCTTGATGAAGAAGATGAACCAGATGCATTTGTACCCGAGTCTACTGGTGCTGCTGTTGACACGAAGACAATGATTCTTCCATGATTGCATTTTCAGGTAAGAATAAGAAGGCATCTAAGAAGAAAAACACTGCTGCCTTTGCAGCCTTGGGTGATGAGGTTGAAAACGAAGAGGGTTTGAAAGAAGACGAGGAAGAAGATGCTCCTTCATTTGGATTTTCAGGTAAGAAGAAGTCATCTAAGAAGAAAAACAGTGCTACATTTGCAGCCTTAGATGACGAGCTTGAAAATGATGAGAGTGTAAAAGAAGATGAGGAAGATGTTCCTTCATTGTCTTTATCGGATAAGAAAAAGAAAAAAATCGAAGTCTTCTAAGAAGATTGGCAATTCCTTCAGTGCAGCATTGCTTGACGAAGATGGAGACACTTCTGTACCTGAATCTACAGCTGCCTCTGTTGATGATAACGATGTTGATTCTTCCATGATTGCATTTTCAGGTAAGAAGAAGTCATCTAAGAAGAAAAGCAGTGCTGCATTTGCAGCCCTGGGTGACGAGGCTGAGCTGCAAAGTGAAGTTTTAGACATGGTTGAAACTGAACAATCGGGTTTCGGAATTAGTAATGTTGAAGCTGGTGATTCTAAAACTAACAAGAGTGAAGAGGCAGCCGAAACTTCTAAGAACAAGAAGAAGAATAAGAAGAAGAACAAGAGTGGCAGGACTGCTCAAGAGGAGGAAGATTTGGACAAAATTCTAGCCGAACTTGGTGAGGGGCCTCCTACAGGAAATCCCACAGAAACAGCCCCTCCCCCAGAGGAGAAAGCTCAGGTTCAGCCAGAGCCGGTTATAGGTGAGAAAGAAGGTGAAGAAGAACATGTGGAGTCTGCTGCTGCAAAGAAAAGGAAAAAGAAGAAGGAAAAGGAAAAAGAGAAAAAGGCTGCTGCTGCAACTGCAGTCGATGCTAAGGAAGAAACTCAAGAGGAAACAAAAGTGGAGACCTCCGATCCCAAAAAGAAAGATGCTAAGAGTAAAGTTGCTGACAAGAAACTACCAAAGCATGTTAGGGAGATGCAGGAGGCACTTGCTAGGAGAAAAGAAGCTGAAGAGAGGAAGAAAAAGGAAGAAGAGGAGAGGTTGAGGAAGGAAGAGGAAGAGAGACGTCAACAAGAAGAGCTTGAGCGACAAGCAGAGGAGGCTAAGAGGAGGAAAAAGGAAAGAGAAAAGGAGAAGCTCTTAAAGAAGAAGCAGGAAGGTAAGCTGTTGACTGGGAAGCAAAAGGAAGAAGCACGTCGACGAGAGGCAATGAGGAATCAAATATTGGCCAATGCAGGAGGCTTGTCTTTGCCTACTGCAGAGAGAGAGGGCGCACCTACAAAACGACCTATATATCAAGCAAAAAAATCTAAAGCAATTCATCATGATAATGGTAGTGCTTCTACTAAGCCTGAGGAGAATGTACAATCAAAGGCAAAATCGCAAGAAGAGCCGCAGATGAAGGTCGAGGTGGAAGCAGTAGATGATGAGAAGGGTGATGAATTAGAATCAACTAACACCGAAGAAAAATCCGTAGTTGCAGATTCTGCTGAAGGGAATAAAATGGAAGAAGAGGATGATGATGATGGTGAGTGGGATGAAAAAAGTTGGGATGATATTAATCTAAATATCAAGGGTGCCTTTGATGATGAGGAAGCTGATTCTGGGCCCAAGCCTGCAATGCATAAAGATATAAAGAGTGCTCCACCAGCTTCTCGCAGTACAGGTGATGGTTACTACCTGCGTTGCTTGTTTAATTTTCTTGCCTTTTGATGATCTTATTTTATTTTATTTTTTGTGTTTCACAGCCCCTCCCACAGCAACCAAGCCAATGGTCGAGGTTGAATCAGATACATCTAAGCCTGAGATTAATGCACCGGACAAAAACTTGAAAAAGAATACTTCTGTGCAAAATAAAGCATCCTCCAAGTCGGATGCTCCTAAGCAGAGTGAAGTGCTCCGGTCCCCGATTTGCTGCATTATGGGCCATGTTGATACTGGTAAAACGAAGCTGCTGGATTGCATCCGTGGCACTAATGTCCAGGAAGGTGAGGCTGGTGGCATTACACAACAGATTGGTGCTACATATTTCCCTGCTATTAACATACGGGAGAGAACAAAGGAATTGAAGGCTGATGCCACATTGAAAGTTCCAGGCTTATTAGTAATTGATACCCCTGGTCACGAATCCTTTACAAATCTTCGCTCAAGGGGATCAGGTTTATGTGATATTGCCATTTTAGTTGTTGACATTATGCATGGTTTGGAGCCACAGACAATAGAATCACTCAATCTTTTGAAAATGAGGAAAACCGAGTTCATTATTGCATTGAATAAGGTCAAGCTGGATAAACTTTGATTGGTCGTTTACTTGTTTTCCTTACCTTTCTTTGATGCTTTATTTATTTTTTTTTTGCTCATTTCTAAAAATTGCAGGTAGACAGACTTTATGACTGGAAAGTTCGCCGCAACTCACCGATTGGGATGACACTTAAGAAACAATCTAAAGATGTTCTCTCTGAATTCAATAGGAGAGTTACCTATGTAAACACATATAAACACGTCATCTAATTCTATTTTGTTCAGAATTTTGGTGGAAGTTTGTTAATTGTGTGTTATCTTTTTATATAAAGGTTATAACGCAGTTCAAGGAGCAAGGGTTGAATACTGAATTGTACTACAAAAATAAGGAAATGGGTGAAACTTTCAGCATCGTGCCTACAAGTGCAGTCACGTTAGTCATGGACGCTTTACAAGTTCCCTGTTTAAATAATGGTAATTCAATTTTGTGTTCTGACCAAGAATTTTTCTGTTATTGATGTTGCAGTGGAGAAGGATCCCAGATTTATTATTATTACTTGTCCAATGTACCCAGAAAACAATGGTTGAGAAGCTTACATTTAGTGATGACGTGCAGGTTTGTTTTATTCCTTCCTTTCTATTTAAAATAGTTCACCATTCCATTTTTGTGCAGTATGAGACATTTTGAAAATTGAATTTTGTGCCAGTGTACGGTCTTGGAGGTTAAGGTTGTTGAAGGCCATGGGGCAACTATTGATGTTGTGTTGGTTAATGGTGTTCTTCATGAAGGAGATCAAATTGTGGTTTGTGGCTTGCAGGTAAGCATTTAAGTTTCTCATTTAGCTTAAAATTTTTGGGCTTGTTTTTTGTTAAATTCTCTAGTACTTATTTCCTGTTTCAGGGGCCTATTGTCACCAATATAAGAGCATTGTTGACACCTTACCCAATGAAGGAAATCCGAGTGAAGGTATGGTTTTCTGGTGGGGCTTCTCTCATATCTGTTCAAACTCTCCGGCTAGAAATGCAGGTTATATTGGAAACTAATCAATGTTTGAAGATGTGATCGAACTCTTATATTGCTCTTTAATGATGTTAATATGAATTGATGACTTATATTGCTCTTTAATGATGTTAATATGAATTGATGACGTCCTTCTTATAAAAAAAAAGTTGATGACGTCCTTTGTTTTCTCTTATTATGAATGATTACCATTACGGCTAGGCAACAACTTTCATTGAGTAACTGTAATTTTTATGGTGCATTTGTTAATATTCTGATGACAATCAGTTGCTTTTTTTTTTTAACATGGTTATCTGATAAGTTTTATATTATTTAAAATTTTAATATATTGGGTTAAAATTTGAACGAGTCCTGAAACTTTGGATTTTTTTCTCTAAGAGGCGTACTGGAGTAGTTTTTTTTTGGATAATTGTGGAAAGTGCAACATGGTGATATTTTGGTTGGATAATTGTAGGGACAATATATGATGCACAAGAAGATCAAAGCGGCTCAGGGTATCAAGATCTCTGCACAGGTGATTGGAACTTAGCTATACATTTGCTTCTCTATTACATCTGATAACTGAGTAAATAAATTATGAGTTAATTTACCTGTATATCATTATGCAGGGCCTTGAGCATGCTATTGCTGGCACAAGCGTCTATGTCGTTGGTCCTGATGATGATGTGGAAGATCTCAAAGAAGCAGTCAAAGAAGATATTCAGTCAGTGATGAGTAGGATTGACAAAAGTGGGGAAGGGGTCTATGTGCAAGCATCTACCCTCGGCTCTTTGGAAGCATTACTGGAATTTCTGAAAACTCCGGAAGTAAATATTCCTGTTAGTGGTATAGGCATAGGCCCTGTACACAAAAAAGACATAATGAAGGCTGGTGTTATGCTGGAAAGGAAAAAGGAGTATGCTACCGTATTGGCTTTTGATGTGAAGGTGACCCCGGAGGCTAGAGAACTAGCAGATGAAGTTGGTGTGAGAATCTTTTTGGCTGATATCATTTATCACTTATTCGACCAATTCAAAGCGTATATTGATGGTCTCAAAGAGGAGAGGAAAAGGGAAGCAGCAGAGGAAGCCGTCTTCCCTTGTGTTATGAAGATTTTACCAAATTGCATTTTTAACAAGAAGGATCCTATTGTCTTGGGGGTTGATATCCTTGAAGGCATTTTAAGGGTACAACTATTTTCATTTCATTAAGTAATTATTTCTAATTAATTGTTTAAGTTTGGTTGCTCATTCTGATTACTACTTAAAGTTCTAGGAATTTTTCGGATAATTTTCTAAACCATCTCTATACCCTTGAGCCTGCATTCTAGTTAGAGCATTTACAAAGGGAAGAAGTACTCGATCATTAGGTTTCTGGAACATATCTAGCAGAAATCTGAGAAAGATCTATCACTTGGGACTTTCGTTGTTAAATTCAGTTCTAATGTTCACGTTTTGCAGTTCTCTAATACTATCTTTATTCTGCAGGTTGGCACTCCGATTTGTATTCCTCAAAGAGAATTCATTGATATTGGTCGAATAGCTTCAATTGAAAATAACCATAAACCTGTTGATTCTGCCAAGAAAGGCCAGAAGGTGGCCATTAAGGTATGATGTTTTCTTTCTTGGACTGTTAAATATTTCATTACCTTTTAAGTTTAAACTGATTTCATAATCTTCATTTGACCAAGTGGATATGACAATATGATAATGCCTCTGATTCCATGTCCATTTTTTCGGTGAGATTTTTCTCTAAAATCATTTCCCTTTTTTTTTTCCTCCCAAGTTTGGAGGAAAATCTCATTCTAAACTTTATCGAGTTTGCCTCAAGGCTCAAGCCATCACCCTTTAGCTTTCAAGTATCTGATGCACCGATATTAGGTCTGATTAGCAGTCTATATTAATCTTATGTCAACAAGGTAATGCAAATCTTAGTGAACATTTATAGAACACGCCAACAAGAACATGAATTGTTAATCCCCTACACATACACTGGCACTAGAGTTTCTTAACTCCACAAGCGGACTTATATGATGAGAGCTACCGAACATACCCGAGTCTGAGTAAACATATTTTGCTGCTTTTTGCTTGTGTTGTTGCAGATAGTTGGATCTAATCCAGAGGAGCAACAGAAAATGTATGGAAGGCACTTTGAGCTTGAAGATGAGCTTGTTAGTCATATTTCTAGGAGATCAAGTGATATTCTCAAAGCTAATTATAGGGTAAGTTATGTCATTGATTTTTATTAGACTTAGATCGTCTAACTTAATATTGTTTATAGGATGATCTGTCCCTTGATGATTGGAGATTGGTCCAAAGACTGAAGGCCCTTTTCAAAATTCCATGAGCATCATGATCGAATGGACCCAAGATGTTGCCGGTAAGATGTAAATTCCCGAGGTTTGATTGGCTTGAAAGGAAAAGTGAACAAATTTTGACCTTGGTTTCACGGAGGAGGACGAGTTACCGGTCTGAGTTTTGAAGGAGGAAATCCCTTGTAACGGGAACAAGATGTCTGGTTAGACGTGCCATAAACTTAGTTGGGGCCCGGTGGCCTTGTTTTTGTTTAAATAATTTTTACTTTGTTTTTGTCTAAATAATTTTTACTTCGTTTTTGTCTAAATAATTTTTACTTCGTTTTTGTCTGATATCATGAGTCATAAAGGGAAGCCTAACATTTGCTTTAAATTCTAAGATTCGTTCTATATTTGATTTAGCTCTGCATTTTATTGACATGAATAAAGTTTATTACCATATGAGTATATTGAAACTTTTGAGATCCGTATCAAATTCATGTAAACTTTTATTCTTTGCGTTTCATTCTTTTTTCTTAGTCCTTGAAATATCCAAACTTCATTGTCCATAAAAATTTTTATTCGACTTTCAAAAGACTTACATTTTCATATTCTAAAATTTTCAAATTCAACTAAAAGATGAGTTTACAAGCATATCAAAACAATGACATATGTATGTTATATTCTCTTGTATGAATTTAAATTTTGATATTTACTTTAGAAATATAATACTCTTTGTTTAATAAAAGAAATAAATATTTTCTGTGTGGAGCCCAACTGAAATTATGTATATAAAGGTGACAAATAGTGTTGATTTGTACCTCCCCTTGGCAAATAATGTCTATACCAATGTTTGATTTTCCACACACCTCTCTATGTCCGTATATACATGTACATGTGTGCATTTGTGTACGTTGTTATTGTTTTCTTGGTTTGTCTAACATCATATTTTATTTCTTATCGCAATATATTTTTATTAAGATAACGAAAAGAAGAATGTTCTTCAATGAAGTTGACCCTTCGTGTTAAAATGTTATAAATAATGAAAAATATAATCGACCAATAAAAGAAATATCAAGATTTTACTTGAAAAAATTTAATGGAAAAAATATAGTTTTGTATAGTTTGATTGTGCGACGTGGTTTGTATTCATCACAAAACTTCAATTTATTTTCTTAATTTTATTTTTTCATCAATTAGGTCGTATCGTAAACCTTTTAAGTTTAAATAATGCGGGATTCAAGTTACAAACTCTAAAATTTGTTAGAAATTCATAAGTAGAAAGGTAATCAAATGTGGGATCGATGAAGAATAAAACACACAAGATTTAACATGATTTGATCTTATCTATCTCTATAGTTAAAGACACCTCAATAATTATAAAGAATAAGCCCAAAGTGAAAGTAAGGTTGATTTTAATCCAATGAATGTCTTATATGTTTCAGGATATTTATTCAAATCTCAGCAACAATAAATAATTTAGTTTTCCTTTATGATTAGTTTACTTTTCCAATATATTTTTATGAATTTAGTTTGAGTTTACTTGACTTGAATTCTTATCAAATAAAAAAATTTAAAATGAAACAAAGATTAATTTAAATTGATTGAATCGACTAAATTGAAAGAATAAATTCTTTAGAAATAAATGAAATACTCTCTACACTTTTAATCAACATTTGAAATCTTATGGCAATAGGAAATGTTATACGTTATTAGTATCAAAGAGGAAGATTTATTTGCATATTAAGGAGCAAGAAACTTCAACAATAAATATAAGATTTTATATTAAAATATGTAAATTTTTAAGAAATTATGTTAGAAATTTTAAAAACGGATTAAATTATGTTTTACGCCGGTAGAGAATAATCCCTGCTTGAGGAACAATGCAGTTGTACCTGCCCTGCTTGAATGAAGCCATATGTGCAATACTTTGAAGCATGGACCACAGCCATGTGAACATGTAGATTCGACCCACCTTTGATTCAGACTTTAAGATGGTTCATCATTCTATAATTAGAATGACCTTGTTGATGTAAATGATTCAGCAGATGAAGGTTTTCCAGAATTGATGTTGCAAACACATAATTCTAGTCAGACAAATGTTGGTGGCTAGTCAACATCTTTCATCGCATAAACGGACATAAGATTTTATACCGGAAAAGATAAACTTATAAAATTTTAGAGAGAGAAAAATTGATTAGGGCGAAAACAGAACATAAAATACTCAGACAAAATAAAATAAAATAAAATATAAAAAAAATTAAAAAATTTAAGGAGACAATTGATTTCACCTTAATTTAAGAATAAATCCATAATATTCACATTCTAATGTAAATATTACGACTCTTGTGAAATGTATATATCATAAAACATCAATTAAATTATTATATTTTCGTGTATATTATTATAAATATGATTTGAGTAGAAAAAAAGTTATACATCTATTATATATTTTACTTTTTAAGATGACATCATTTTCACTTTTTGAAATATATAATTGTTTTAATATTAAGTGGTTCATAGAATAATAAATGAATCATTGTATGATATATAAGCTGCATAAAATTTAGTTTATACAATTATGTCTATTTTGATAATATTTATATTATTTATAATTTATGATTAATGTATCATATTTTTTTTATTTTTTTTATAAATCTTGGGTAAGTGCAAGACAATATATGTTCAAAAATAACTCTCAACCTTTCGACATTAAACGCTCACACCCCTGACAGTATATGTTCAAATATTGTTATATGTCATATTATATTTCTATATTAAGCGTGAGTTGTAAAAAAGGAAATGAAGCATTATCATACTATTATTGAATTGTTGACTCTGTCAATATTGTTGTTGAGTTGAATGCCCATTAAACTGAAAAAATGAAGCAATTTTACACCCTAAGCTTAAAAGTGAAAAAGGAGTAAAGTAACTTATGTGAAAAATTAAGTTGTGGCCTACTCTTCATTGCTTGTGTCTGTGAAGAACGAATAATTTTGTTTTAAAATTCTTTTTGAAAAAAACATTAGTAGTTATAAATTTCAGCGTTTGGCAAATATTTTCAACCTATGTTAGAAAAAGAAAGGATAGTTTTGACCTTTAGACTTGCACGTTTCTTATCATTATTTATCTTAAAATTATTGTCAGTTTAGTTTCACTTCTCTTCGATTTATGAATCAGAAAATAATGTGTATCTAAAGAACAATATCTATTTTGCGATTATACCAATTAAACAAAATCGGTCTTAAGATTATAACTCTACCACGACACAATATAGTAATTTTACCAACATTAGATTATCAAACATACTTAAAATTTCGACAAACAATATTTAATCGATTTAATTTGAACGAAGAAAAGAAAAATAATTTACTTATATTGGAGACGTTATTATTAAATTTAAATTTATACTAAATAGATTTGGTATTATGAAGAAATTATTGTAAAACGCGCTAATGTGGGTCTCGTGTGGGAAAAATTCTCACTATTGTCCCTACTAATGGAAATGCATGCAGCCTCCTAATGAAGAAGAGCCATAAGAAATTATGGGGTAAGGGAGAGGTAGGGTAGTAGGCTGCCCCAACGCATGGTTGAGAGTAGCTTCCGTGGAAGACCTCCGACAGTCAGAAAATTAAAAATAAAGATAAAATGCAATGCATGTATAAATAAATAAATAAATACATATTTGAATAGTCTTCATATACAGTCTCCATATGCACTTCTGTAATGGGAAGTAATCCCTGCTAATAAATCCCTGCATAATAATCTCTGCATATAGACAGAAACGTAAGACCCGACTAAAATTAAAAAGAGGAAACATGAAGAGAATGATACATAGAAGTCAACGATAGCAAGCTACGAGAAGGAATAAAGTCAAATGGGTTAAAACCTAAACTAAGGCAACACTAATCCGCTACCCTAGTTCTAAGCCTTCATTAATTCCAATGACAGAAACGTATAAAAAGTAGAAGTCATATAAATTACAACAAAGGCATTAAAAGAAGACAGAAATGTTACACCCTATGGATGTGACCCGCACTAATAGGCTACCCTGGTCTTAAGTCTCCATACTTTCCTATCAGAGGTCATGTCCTCGGTAAGGGCTAAATCCTTCAAATAAGATCTCAAGCAGTCTTCCCACTTCTGCCTTGGTTGTCCTCTCCTTCTGGCACCATCGACTGTAATCGACTCTACCCTCCTAACCGTATCCGACGATTGTCGCCTAAGGACATGCCCAAACCACCGTAGTCTTCCTTCCCTTAATGTTTTGGATACAGGCACCACCCCCAAGGACATCTTAATAGCAGAGTTTGGTGTCATGTCCCACAGAGTCCTACCACATGCCCATTGAAGCATTCTCATTTCTGCGGCATCCATCCTCCTTACGTGATCCTTCTTGATTGCCCAACATTCTGATCCATACAACAACGCTGGTCTTATTGCCATTCTATAAAATTTTCCCTTAAGTTTTTGAGGCACCTTCTTGTCACAACAAACTCCAGTAGCAACCCTCCACTTTAGCAATCCCGCCTTTATACGGTGTGTAACATCATCATCTACACCCCCATCCTTATGTATCATAGACCATAGGTACTTGAAACAATCCTTTGAGGGGAGAACGTGTCCTTCTATGCATACTTCTACATCTTCATCGTTTTGGTTCCCACTGAATTTTGAATATAAATACTCTATCTTTTCAATATTGATCCTTAGACCTTTTTCTTCCAAAGCAGTCTTCCAGGTAGCCAGTCTATATTCAACTCAGTTTTTGTTTCAGCAACTAGGACAATATCGTCAGTGAAAAGCATACACCATGGAACACCATCTGGTGTCGCACAATAGATGTCGTCCATAATCAAGGCGAAGATGTAAGGGCTAAGAGCCGACCCCTGGTGGAGTCCGGTTTCCACCGGGAATGCCTCGGTGTCGCCAACTATAGTCCTGACGTATGTAGTAGATCTACAGTACATATCACGAATCGCCCGGATATAATCAGTTGGGATCCGTCTCGTTTCCAAGGTCTTCCAGATCGTATCACGGGGAACGCTATCATACGCCTTCTCAAGGTCAATGAACGCCATGTGAAGATCTCTATTTTCCCCCTATATTTCTCCATAAGCTGTCGAAGTAGATGAATCGCCTCCGTTGTAGACCTTCCTAGCATAAAGCCAAATTGGTTTTTCGAAACCCTAGTAACATGTCTCAACCTAGCCTCTGTCACCCCTTCCCATAGCTTCATGGTATGGATGAGTAGTTTAATACCTCTGTAGTTGCCGCAACGTTGGGGATCTCCTTTATTCTTAAAGATTGGTATCACCATAGACTCTCTCCACTCCTCTGGCATCATGGCAGTCTCTAAAATAATATTAAAGATGTTGGTCAACCACTTAACTCCCTCTTCTCCTAGGGCCAACCACACAATGATAGGAATTTGATCTGGACCGACAGCTTTGTCCCTCCCCATCTTTCTAAGAGCCATTTTGATTTTATCAAACCCAATCCTACTTGTAGGGCAGTCATTGGTCGTAGTATGATGGTCGGCTGACCCATCAATGGTACTATCACTATAGGGAGATGCACCGTCATTAAATAAGCCAAAGAAGTAACTACCCAAAACCCTCTTAATATCATGATCTTTCACTAAAAGAAAACCATTGTTGTCCTTAATAAACCTAATGCTACCTAGATCCTTTTTCCTATTCTCCCTGGATTTTGCAAGTCTGAAGATGTCGTTTTGTCCTTCCTTGGTGTTTAATCTCTTGTACATTTTCTCATATGCCTTATCCTTTGCTTTAGCCACCGTTTTCTTGGCTTCCCGCTTTGCTTCCTTGTATCTTTGTTTAGTTCTCAAGCTCTAGATCCGGTCACGAGCAAGGTCATCTCTGTTTTAGAAAATGAAGCTGGATTTCTGACCGGTATTAGAGCTGAGATCGATGAAATCAAGCTTGAGTTCAAGGCCATTACAACATTCCTTAACGATGTTGACAGAAGATCAGGAGTAGCACCTTGGAATGAGACGGATAATCAATGGATCTCGAGCATAAGAGATATTGCATACGAAGTCAAAGACGTCATCGACGAATTCATGTACCACTCCAACAAGCAACAACAATAGAGGGGTAAGGCCTCGAGTTTTTCTTGAAGCTCATCCATTTTTCCAACAATCTGATGATCAGGCACCTAGTATTTTGTTCGGAATCTAGAAAATCTAATGACCAAATTAGTTGAGAGAATCATCGTAATAACTGGGTGAAAATCTGAGCGAATCATCTCTTTTTTTTAAAGGCGATGATCTCGTTGGCATTGATAAGGCACTACGAGAGTTATTAGGATGGTTGATGGATCAATAGTATCAAAGGACAATTACTTCCGTGGTCGGATGGGCGGTTTAGGTAAAACAACTCTGATCGCCAACAATTTCAACAAGCAAGTTGTCAAGCAACATTTCGATTGTTGTGCCTGGATAACTGTCTCACAACAATATGTTGTTACGGGTCTATTAAAGTCCATGATCGAAGAGCTCTACGGCAAGGCGAAAAAGATAATCGAGCCAAAAATCAACCTAGACTCCATGAGCTATTGAGAATTGCTGGAGGCACTAGTAAGCTTCTTAGAGCCAAGGAGATATCTAATCGTGATAAATGATGTTTGAAGCAACCAGTTTTGGCAAGACATCAGCATAGCATTGCCTGTCAAAAGAACGACAGTCGAATCTTGCTCACAATGTGAAAGGAAGACGTTGCTTCATTTAATTTGGAGCTGTAAACCACATCTATAGGCTCAAAACCTTACTATTCGATGATAGTCTGGCCCTTTTTTTGTAAGAACGCTTTTGTTGGCAAGGATGGACAATGCCCTCCATATCTTGTACCTTCAGCAAGAAGGCTGATTGCAAAATGTGAAGGCTTGCCATTAGCTATTGTGGCTTTAGGAGGTTTAATGGCTTCTAAGAACTCGATTCCTGAATGGAATGAAGTTTATAACAACTTAAATTGGGAGCTAAGCGAAAACGATACATATTTTGAGAGGCTCAAGTATATTTCATTCCATAGCTACCATGATTTGTCCTACAGCCTGAAGCAATGTTTCCTATATGGTTGCACATTACCAGAAGATTATGTGATAAAACGTAAAAGACTGAAGGATTTGGTTGACTGAAGGCTTTGTTGAACCACGAAAAGGGACAATTCCAGAAGTTGTTGCAGAGCGATACCTAACCGAGTTGATTGGCGGAGGCCTGATTCAAGTCGTGAGGAGTGGATCAGGGAGGCTTAAAAAATTTAAGATGCACGACATTTTGCGAGAGTTAGCAGTTTCCATATCGAAATCCATAAAGTTTGTTATCAAATCTGATGGGATAGAAGTAGTAGAAGATAAAGGAATCCGTCGTTGGTCAATTAAAGCAAAGGAGAAAGAGATGAAGGCTGCAAGCATGGCTACACTATCTCGGGTTCGTTCATTGCTTGTTTTTGCTGGTATTGAAACCTCTAAATCATCATTTAATAAGCTGACTTCTGGTTTTAAATTGATGAGAGTGTTGTACTTGGAAGACACTCCAATCAATGAACTCCCAGATGAATTGGTTAATTTATTCAATTTGAGATATCTTAACAAGAACTCAAGTGAAAGAGCTTCCGAAATATATGGGCAAGCTTTACAACTTAGAGTTTTTATTTCTGAAGGAGACTCGAATCGAAGTGCTTCCTGCAGGAATCGTCAAGCTGAGAAATCTTCGGTATCTAGTTTTTTATCGATTCAATGTAAACCGAGGGGCATTCGACTTCGGCTTCGGTGTAGTATTCCCATCCAACATTTGTTTGCTAAACAGCTTACAAGTTTTGGCAGTTGTGCAAGAAAGAGTCGATTTCATCAAACAACTCAGCAGTATGACACAATTGAGAAGGCTTAACATTAGCAACATCAAGGAATCTGATGAGAAAATTTGTGCTTCGCTATCGCGAAAATGATACACCTTCGATACTTATTGGTAAAATCATGAAACGAAGACGAGGAAGTGAAGATGGATGCACTCGAATCAGCTCCTCCCGACCTTGGTTAGCTGGGAAATTGGAAAAGGTACCCTACTGGTTCAACTCGATCAACAAACTCACTTTCTTGTGTTTACATTGGTCTAGATTGAGGGATGATTTCCTTCCTCACATCCAAGCGTTGCCTAAATTAGGACATTTGGACATGGTAAATGCATACGAGGGGGAGAAACTATCCTTCGTTTAAAGATTCCAAAAGCTTAAGATTTTAAGAATTAGGGGATTCACTCGATTGAAAGAAATTGTGATAAACAAATCAGTGATGCCTGGTCTTCAAGAGCTGCAGATCGTCGACTGTCGAGAGTTCACGACATTGCCGGAAGAAACTATGTCGAGAGTTATAAATTAAAATTTTTAAAATTTTGAAGAGTTCTGTTTGCATATTTTTTCAAAAAAAATTGGGGTCTAACTAAAATTTAAAAAAATTGAGAGGCTTAATGATAAATTTTAAAAATTATAGGAGGGTTTAATTAAGATCATTCAGAAATTTTAAAGCTTAATATGAATTTCTAAAAATTTTGTGAAGGCCAAATCAATAATTTTTAAAAAATTTAAAGATCTAAAATTAATTTTTAAAATTTTTGTGTGACCATGACCTCGCATATCCCCCCAATATGTTCAGTCACTATCCTAAAAAAATTCCTCAATCAATACACAAATGCTCATTAGTCTTATTATTCTTGTACATTTGTGTATTTATTGAGGAATTTTTTAATTTGGGACAACGACGGAACATAGTGGAGACCATGGCCCCCACAACGATTTTACACATTCGATGATTTTATCAACCGAACGACTAACACCACGAAATTGCTAGTAGCTGCACTCTTCGCAAAATGCAGTACGATAAGAAATCCTCCACTCAGATTTTTCGCAACCCATAGAAGATTATCATCCCAACGCATAGGCCTATAATATAATCTATAGACTTGCATGGCAATCCCCTGCGCCTTACTCGAGTAAGAGCATATTATTATATAAGCTACAACTATTATCAGTTACAATATCAAATCGAGTCAATTTATCTTTAGCAGATAATCTATCTAAAATAATCATCCAAAGAATGATGGAAGGCTAGTATATGTGAGGAAAACCAAATAAATTTATACCACCGTACCTTATCTCTCTTATCCCAAATAATTTCCCATATCTAACTGCCCTTAACAAGAGACCAATTTGTACCAGCATCAAAAAAATTCCCAACTTCACCCCAAAGTTTCAGGAATTTTCTAAGAATCCAATTAAAATGAGACTTATCAATGAATTCAACAATATCATTACTTATATATGAAATGCAAATCATCCTTACAAGATATTAAGCTATAAATAAAAGAATACATATTTGGTCATGACTCATGAGGTGAACTTTACAAGGAATGTTGGGAGCATTACCATAAATTTACACATTCAAAACTAATTCGAGTTTTTATTTATGGTTTATGCTTTTTATGAGATTTTACATAAAATTATTTAAGTACTTAATAAAGTCTAAATATAAAATTAGTAGAGGTTATAATGTTGTTTTCTATTTGTTTTATTTTTTGTGTCTTTGACCATGGATTGAAGCATCTCTTGTAGCATGGCAAATATGTTTGGTGTTTGGAGTGTATCATTATTATATTGTGTAATCGATTTTGATTCAAATAAATTGATTTTAAAGGATAATATTCTAACTTAAAGATCATCTGTCTTGCTTACAATAATAATACAAACCACAATCCAAAGTTAATATAAAGTGTATGTTTTATGTGTTATTTCTTGGAGTGGTGGTAGAAACTAATTTAGGTTGATGTTTTGGCTTACAATTTTAATATTATTGTAAACGAAGATAATAAAGTTTGAAGTTAGAATATGAATTACTTTTGAATTTAGATTTCATAAGTGTTTAAAATTTATGAAAAAATATAAAAGATATTTAAAACGGATTAATTTTTTCGAATTTAAAATTGGGAGAATCTTAAAGAGTATTTAAATTAAAAAATATAAGTCAACTAACAATAATTTAACGTTTTAGACTAAATTATATGTAGTCACTCGCTTTTGTCCGGGTTTATTATTATTATTATTATTGTTATTATTATTATTATTGTTATTATTATTATTATTATTAACAAAATAACTCGCTTTTGTCCGGGTTTATTATTATTATATTGTTGTTATTATTATTATTATTGTTATTATTATTATTAACAAAATAAAATTACATGTTTGCAGGTCAATCCCGGAGCCCAGTACAACCCGACAACTTATTGAAGACCCATTCAGAGTCCAAATACATTAACCCAATAGACTCAGGCCCGATTTGACCCAAACCCGACCCAATTCAATAATTAGGGTTTTTAAACCCTAAATCAACCTAGCCGCCAGCAACAAAAGACTATAGCTCCTGTCGGCGCCACCACTCTCCCTTCGCAAATGGACCACCGCCAAATGTTCCCAAGCTACTGCTAATCAACACCATCGTCATCACTTACGCCAAACATCACTCAAAGGAACAAAAAATTCGACAAAATATTAGTGCTCCACTAAACAGATTTTTAAACTAAATAAAATCTTGAAAAACCAGTAGGTTGCCTGCCCATTATTCGACATCAGTGGATGATCCACTACAAAATAACTAAAAATGAAGGCCACCATTCAGAGAAAAAAGATAGAGAAGAGCTTTACCTTGAATCCTTCGACAAATATAGATTTGGTGATTGGACTGCAAACCCAAACGGGGAAGAGGTTTAGAGTGTTGAGTAGGCTGACTGTTGAACTATGTTTTGATATAACAATTTGAGGTAAAATGGTTTTTGGACTTGAATTGAATTTACAAAATGTTTTAGGACTTAATTGAATTTATTCAAAGTTTTAATGAATTTATTCAAAGTTTTAAAAGGTTTCAAAAATAATTCAAAGTCCATTAAATTCAGATTTGAGCCAAAATGCTAAAGGGTGTCAAAGTGCATCCATGCACCCCTGCAGTGCATCCATGCACCCCTGCAGTGCATCCATGCATCCCTGTAGTGCATCCATGCACCTGCACTAGTGCATCGATGCACCATGCAGTGCATCCATGCACTCAAACACCGAATGCAATTAGTGCATCGATGCATCCTTCTGTGCATCGATGCATCAAGGCTGTGCATCGATGCATCCTATTGTGCATCCTGCTGTGCATCCATGCACGAAGGCTGCAACGGCTAGTAACGACTAGTTTATTTGAATTTAATGAAGGGGTATCGATACACCATGATAGTGCATCGATGCACCATGTTATGAGTAGCCTTTTTGAGTAGAACAATCATCCCCAAACGGCTCCAAAACATCCCCAACGGCTATATACAACATCAAACACATTCCAAGCTATAAATACAAGCTAAGGACACTTGAAGAAGTATGAGAACAACTATCCAAACAATCAAACACAAGAGAAGAGTTTTTCATTCTTATTTCAACTTTCTCTTGTAAATATTTTGTTCTTGTGAGCTCAATCTTGTAAACACCTACCTTAGAGAGGTTTTCTTGTTTACTTATTTTATTCTTTTGTAAAGGGGAAAGGTTCTAGCTTATCCCGTGTAAAAGCTAGGGAAAGGTTCTAGTTTATCCCGGAAAAACTAGGGAGTTGTAAGGTTATCTCTTTGTCCTCAAAAGAAAGAACAAATTAGTGAATTTGTTGGAAAATCCTTGGTGAGGAGCTAAGGTAGTGGACGTAGAACTTTGGTTTAGAAAGTCAAACCACTCTAAATCGCTATGTAATTTCAATTTTCTATCTTTCAATCTCCTTACTCCCTAAACTCAAAAACCGTTCCGACCCCTCTTTGCAAACTGTTTCGATTGTCGAATCGAGCTTCCGAAAATCCCAACAATTGGCATCAGATCCTAACTCATTAAGAAGGTTTAACCACCTTGAGACGATCCTCGAAGAAGCTCTACCAATTTCTGACGCAACCTACAAAGAAATTACTTTTTCCTCCGGTGCTTATTATCTTGAAGAATATCCCATTATGGATTCACAACTGGTCAACAAGACACCCTTCTTCAATGGAGCAAATTATGCACATTGGAAGAATAAGATGATGTACTTTATTCAATCCTACAATCTAGGAGTTTGGAACTCAATCATGGGCGGTTACTCCTCTCCACCCGGCAAGTACAACGATTGGAGTAGAGAATAGCAGAAAAATTTCCAGCTTAACTCTATGGCTATACATATTCTATTATGTGCTTTAGGCCCAAATGAATATGGAAGAATCTCATCTTGTTCCAGTGCCAAAGAGATTTGGGATAAGCTCCAAGTCACTCATGAAGGAACCGACGAAGTGAGGGAATCAAAGAAAAGTCTTCTCAACCATATCTACGAGAACTTTAAGATGAAACCCGATGAAGACATCAAAGTTATGACGGATATATTTTTTGTGATTGTCAACGGTCTCATGGGATATGGAGAAGTAATACCTAATGAGAAGCTTGTGAGGAAGACGATCTACTATCTTCCAAAGGAGTGGCAATCGAAGAAGACAACCATTATCGAAGCAAGAAACTTAAAGTCTCTCACTCTCGATGAGCTAATTGGTTCCCTTCTCACTCATGAGATGATGGTGAAGGAAGATGAAGAAAGGGAAGAGAAGAAAAAAGAAGAAGAAGGAGGTAGGCATTGCCTTCAAATCCACCAATGAAAGCTATCAAGATTCAAGTGATGAGGTGAATGAAGACGATGATGAACAAGAAGAAGAGATGGTCAAGCTCTTGAAGGAACTCAAGAGATTCATGATTTCCAAGAAAGTGAAACATGAATCAACCAAGAAGAAGAGTCCCCCGATATGTTTCAATTGTCAAAAAAAGGGACATGTCAAGTATGAATGCCCTCTTCTAAAGAAAAATGGAAAGAAGGCATTTGTTGCACCTTGGAGTGATGAAGATGATTGCAATGATGAAGATAAAGTAGTCAACCTATGCCTCATGACCACTCAAGAAGAATTCGAGGTATCTTCTAACTCAAATGAATTTAATTCATTTACTTTTGATGAGTTACAAGATGCTTATAATAGGTTGTATTTGGGATTTGATACCATGAATTCCAAATATACAAAATTAATTTCAAAACTCAAAATTAAAGATAATTTTATTTTGAAAGCAAAAGTTGATTTTGAAAATCAAAATTAAATTTTGAAAAATAATTTAGAGCTTTCAAAAATCAAAATAAATGATTTAGAAAAAGAAAATTTTGAGATAGGAGTTAAGCTTGAAGGCTTAACAAAAGATAAAGAATTAATTTCTAAAAAATAACCTATTATGTTTAAAAATGGCAAAATGCTCACATTGTCATTTTTATGGTCATTTGGAACATACTTGTCCTTTAAAGAAAGGAAAACATTTTAAAATTACACAAGTATGGGTTCCTAAGGGAACAAGGGGCATTGAAACTAACGTCCAAGGATCCAAAGCAATTTGGATACCAAAATCAAAATAAATGTCTCTTGTAGGTGTGTGGGAGCAATGGTGATGAAGATGATGATATTCAAGATGCTCTAGCTACACATGAAAAGGAATGGGTAACCTCTAAGCTTAATGTTTTTAATTTTAGTTGTTTGGTTGCTCATAGGATTTATGAATGCATGAGTTTTGATTTTAAATGATTATGCATTGTTTTTAATCTCATGTATGTTTAAAAAAATGGTTATGGTGAACATTTTAAATTTTTAATAATTTTTTTAGTTCATCATAATAAAAGTTTGGTCAAAATTGGTTTTAATGCAAATGATATCTCTCTAACAATTGATATCAATTTTTCAAAAAATTTGATTTCACAAATTTTAATTTTTTGACCTAAATTTAAATGTTTATGCATGTGATTTAAATGAAAATGATATCTCTCTAACAATTGATATCAAAATTTTCAAATGCATAACATTTTTGGAAAACTTTATGCATATGCACTTAATTTTAACAAATGGTATTGATATCAAATTTCAACAATTGGTATTACATAAAGGATTTTAGTCTTGGATATATTGAATTTCATGTGCTACTAACATATTTGTTATTATTTGTAGAAATTCAATTTCTTTTTAAGTGTCAAGTTCTTAAAGCTAAATTTTGATTGGAATGCATTTATTGAGGGGAGCTTTGATTTTTCAAATGATTTTTAAATGTCAAATTTACCACTTACTCTCCAAAGTTATTTTGAACTTCATAGATCGAATTATTTTTGATATAATAAAAAGGTGGAGAAGTTTGGTTTGAAAAATTCAATTTCCAAATGAAAAAGGGGGAGCTTAACATTTTTATACATTTTCCAACAATTGTTAACAATTGATATCTTTTTCATTAAACAATTTATTAAGGGGGAGTTTTGCCAAAAACAAATTTTCAAATGTTTTGTTATATCAAAAAGGGGGAGATTGTTGAATAATGTTTTGATATAACAATTTAAGGCAAAATGGTTTTTGGACTTGAATTGAATTTACAAAATGTTTTTGGACTTAATTGAATTTATTCAAAGTTTTAATGAATTTATTCAATGTTTTAAAGGTTTTAAAAATAATTCAAAGTCCATTAAATTCGGATTTGAGCCAAAATGCTAAAGGGTGTCAAAGTGCATCCATGCACCCCTGCAGGGCATCCATGCATCCCTGCAGTGCATCCATACACCTGCACTAGTGCATCGATGCACCATGTAGTGCATCCATGCACTCAAACACTGAATCCAATTAGTGCATCGATGCATCCTTCTATGCATCGATGCATCAAGGCTGTGCATCGATGCATCCTATTGTGCATCCTGCTGTGCATCCATGCACGAAGGCTGCAACGGCTAGTAACGACTAGTTTATTTGAATTTAATGAAGGGGTATCGATACACCATGATAGTGCATCGATGCACCATGTTATGAGTAGCCTTTTTGAGTAGAACAATCATCCCCAAACGGCTCCAAAACATCCCCAACGGCTATATACAACATCAAACACATTCCAAGCTATAAATACAAGCTAAGGACACTTGAAGAAGTATGAGAACAACTATCCAAACAATCAAACACAAGAGAAGAGTTTTTCATTCTTATTTCAACTTTCTCTTGTAAATATTTTGTTCTTGTGAGCTCAATCTTGTAAACACCTACCTTAGAGAGGTTTTCTTGTTTACTTATTTTATTCTTTTGTAAAGGGGAAAGGTTCTAGCTTATCCCGTGTAAAAGCTAGGGAAAGGTTCTAGTTTATCCCGGAAAAACTAGGGAGTTGTAAGGTTATCTCTTTGTCCTAAAAAAAGAACAAATTAGTGAATTTGTTGGAAAATCCTTGGTGAGGAGCTAAGGTAGTGGATGTAGACTTTGGTTTAGAAATTCGAACCACTCTAAATTGCTGTGCAATTTTCTATCTTTCAATTTCCTTACTCCCTAAACTCAAAAACCGTTTCGACCCCTCTTTGTAAACCGTTCTAGTTGTCGAATTTAGCTTCCGAAAATCCCAACATGGACATTTCTTGACAGTGGCCTCATCGGACGACGGGTTTAGTGTCGATACAAGGTAAACTTTACGGTTTCCTTTTCTAGATCTAGGTTTATATGCAAGTTTTTAGGCTAAACTAAGGCTAAATATAAGGTGAGGGTAAAAAAAGGAGTGTTTTGAGAGGAGTTGGGTACCTTCGGTCACTGGAATCGCCATGCGCCGCCGCTTGCCACCGCGGTTCCCTTTCCCGACGAGGGGAAAGTTGAGAGAATTTTTCAACTTTCTCTCTCTCTTATTTCTGCTGAAACAAATAAAATGAAGAGTGGAGAACTAAAAGCTCGTATTTTGGGCTTATATGTCCCTGATGAAACGACGCCATTTCAACAGGGACCTTTTCTGCGCTTTTAATGGTATATTAATGATTTAAGTCCTTGTTGTTTTGTAACATAATATTTTAAATGTTAAATGAAGTTTTTATTATTATTTCAAGATCTTATTTTTTACCATTTACATTTTAATCCTATTTTTATATGTTACGTATTATTTTAAATATTTGACATAGGTCACTATATGTTTAATTTATTATATAGATCGGTTTATTTGCTACTTATTGTATTTTTAAAAAATATTATGCATTTATATGTATATATTTTACTATTCTAACTTTTAGCAAACATTATTTTATTAATTTTGATGTTATTTATTCGAATATATTTCAAGAACACTTTTAAATAATAAATTCAAAGTAAATTAATCACACTTTAATAAACGGATCGTATTTTAAATTTATATTTGACTTTTAATTTCCACCATTACAACAAAGAGAAAGCGAAACAATACTAATTTTGGGCGTTGTGGTGGTGTTAATCATTCCCCACGTGTAACCGACTCTGGAACATATTTTAATCGAATCTTTGGTAAACGCAGACCAGTTTTTGTATTAAAACGATTTTTCTTAAAATTATTTTTAAAAGACATTTTTAGGTATTTGACCTACCTAACCTGAAGATTGATGGTGACTCTTTTCAATTTTATCCAAATTAATTCCAAATTACTAATTTTCCAAAATTTAAAGTCGCAACTGTTGGTAAAACAATATTTAATTGTTCCACCTAAAAATGGTTATGACAGCTTGGCGACTCCGCTGTGGACTTTTTTGAGAGTCAGGCTATAAGTCGCTTACACGTTGTCGTTTGGTGGAAATTATGAGTTCGAGTATTTAGTTAATTTATGATCCTTTTATTGAAGTTTTTAATTGCTTAATTATTTTTATTTTCATACTAACATTTGAATCTTTGTTTTGAGATTTGTCCAAGTTTTTGTCGAGTGGTTTCGTTTTCCTTTCGAGTCAAAGGATTCCTCTTCACACACATCACGGGCATTTGCATAACATAAGCTCTATACCCGAGCTCTAAACTCTTTCTAAGTAGGGGTGAAAGCTACGCCTTCGAGGGAATTTATTCTTCGTGCAGGCCTAGCAAGTAACCTTCGGGATTAATATACCTTATTTCTTTGAGGGAATTTATTCTCCGTATAGGCATACAAGAATATATCATCTCGAATTGAACTTGTTTCACTCGAAACCTGTAATGGGTAAGGATCGAGGGTTTGGCAGCCCAAGGGGCACTGACATCAAGGACAATTCGAGTACCTTTTTCCTCATAGAGCTGAAACAATGCATATAGTCCTATCGAATCTCTGTCCGTCAGTAGTACCCAAATTAGGTGTACACGAAAGAGGATAGATTAACATGTTTTTTTTTAATTTTATTTGGGTAGATAATATAAAGCTTCAAGTTATTTATCTTTTCTTTTATATTAAATTTATTCAATTGTTTTAACTAAATGTTTTGTTTGTTTTGTTATGTTTTTTCATACTGCATACACATATCATTAGAAAAGGAAGTTGATATATGAGTATATATAAAGTGGAAAGACTCTCGGTTAATAAGAGGGCCTTCGTTTAAATCAAAGTTCGCGAAGATCACAGGAACGAGCGATAAATAGATAAATGATCGTTTGCGACAAAAAGGAGAAAATAAAGGAGTACTATGGTCACACTTTCAAAATATAGCTCTAACACACGAGGATGAAAATGTACGGAGGGATGTATTTGCTCTGGGAATATATGGCTTGATAATTTTTCCAAGGTGCTTGGGAATTGTTGAGCTGGCAATAGTTGACTTGGTTGATAAGTTAAAAGGAGAAATAAATCAAGTCCATGAGATTCTTGCTGAAACTTTTCGGTCTTTGAATATCTATAGAAGGCTGAGTGGATGTCGTTTTATGGGATGTGCTCAGTTGCTTACCATATGGATCAGAAGTCGTTTTTGGAAAAAGAAAAGGTCAACTACAATCACTTTTTGAAAGATTTTTCTCCCATTGCTGAGTACCTTACAAAGGAATGGCTTGAAGCATCACAAAAGGATCAATGGATTGAATTCTTCAGGAATTACAGGGTCATAATATAACATGACGAGCTCCGTGGATGATGCACACACAAATTTTGTTCAAATGTGGAGATTTGGAATGGATCATACTACTGGGACTGTGGGGAGGAGTCGGATACACTCTTTTGTTGGTTCTGAGACAATATGGTGCCCGAAATTTGTTCCAGTAACTTATAGGATAGTCGGTGCTGAATTTGATTTTAAAGAAGCCAATTATAGGAAGAAAGTCAAGGATGTGGCTGATTATTGGATTGACTTTCAGGACCAATGTAGTTGGAGTAGATGTTATCTTGACACCTGATTATAAAGCTTGGAGAATTCAAAGAGTAAATGTTAATGGTCCTTTAGCATCTGGAGAGGGATCCTGGTTGATGGAGGAACAAATCAGAAACATCCCTTTGAATTTGGAGATTCAGAGAAATGAGTTTGAGATAGCGAAAGCTAAGGATGATAAGAAAATAAACGAGATGGAGAGAGAAAACTTCATGTTAACTATCGAAGCTGAATTTCATGCCAGACAGTTTGAAATGATGAAGAACATGAAAGAGGGGGTGGAAGCCGACCTTGAAGAACTAAAAAAGGATTATCAAAGGATACAACAGGTAAGAAGAGGATTTGGGTCAAGTAAATCGCCACATCAGTGGGATAGAAAATTGACAGCTACAAAACGACGAATTAAAAGTCTTCAGGTCGAGAATAAATTTCAAGTCAAGAAGATAGAAGCTGTCAAAGCAAAAATAGGAGAATTGGAAGATGATAAGAGATAAATGATCAAACAATCTAAGGCTGAGGATTGTAAAATTTAGAAACTCCAAGAGGAAAAAGAGATCAGACTGAATGAATTAGAGGAAGAAAAAAGTCATGTCCAAGGGTTGAAAGCTGAGATAAACAACATAATTGAAGACTTTGAAGAAAAAGATCAAAGAATTACAGAGCTCGAAGAAGAAAGAGATCGAAAAAATAAGGAGATATGGTCTGAAAGACAGGGATGAAACCAATTCTTGAAAGAAAATAGGCTTAAATTGGGTCCTGGATACAAAGATTCCAATCAAAGAGCATAAGAGTGGAGCAATTAACAGAAGAAATGGAAGATTTACAGACCAGTGTTGAAGAGGAGGTTAATCGGTCTCGAGCAATGAATGGTGATCTCAAAAATTATATCTTGCATCTTGAGGAGTCCTTACTTCAAATGCAAGTGCCACCTGAGTGGATGAACTTAAGGCTTACTCGTGAGGAGAATACTTCTTTACGAGAGTAAGTCAGAGGACTAGAGAGTGAGTTTTAACACTGTCGAGTACATATTACCAATCTCGAAAGGGAAATTACTCGAATCAAGGAGGGATGGAAGGATACATATGAACACCATCGGATGTTGATAGAAGAATGAGAGCGTATGATGGGTGAAACTATAGCTAAAATGGGTGGAGTTGCTCAATACATGAATGAATTGGCCAATATAGCTGAGATTATCCAACTGCAAACAAGTCCAGTTTCTGAATATGCAAGGGAGATCATTTCTATTATGAACAAAATTATAGAGCTGAGTTTGAGGGCTAAGCCTTATCTTAATGGATCTCCGTGTAATGGTTGAAACTTTTTATCCAGTGAAAGTTAGATCCAAATAGTTACTGCTTGGGTAACGCCTTTAGGATACATTTTGTATTTTTGCATTAGCATCATTTATTTTGCAAATTTATTATTTATAACACATCATCAAAAAAATGCATCATTATAAAACATTACCAATAAACATGTATCCAAATTAAAAAGAAAACAAACAAACAAAGAAATTAATTTTCGAAAGGGTTATGTGACAGAAGATTCTGGAAAGTGAAAACATTAGCCCTCATCATACACGAAGTAAGACCATGGATGGTAAGATTGAGCAGTTAAAGAAAGAGATGCAAGAAGAGTTATAAAAGATACAACAAGAATGGCACTCGAGAATGGAGCAGTGACAAAAATCAATTATAGATCAGATATTGCAAAGCCAATCCAATATGATGAATAAAATGATGACAAAAATGTATGGTTTACATACTGAAGCAGCTAAAGAGCCAAGTAATACTTTGGTTGGAGCTTCTGGACATGAATCTACCCCGAGATTAATTATTTCCCCTGAAAAGTCAATTGAGCATCCTGTGAGGTCTTCAGCAACAAAAGTTCAAATGGTGGGCAAAACTAATCCTCAAAATAGACCTCATGAATATATGGATGTAGATCTTGAGGAAATAAGAAATATAGAATTGTGGTACTAGAACATCTAAAGGTTCGATGTAAAGGCTTTATGAAAGAGATGGGAAAGTAGAGTTCTTGAGATGGAATGGAGGCAGAAGAACTGAGTCTAATACTCGACTTGATCTTACCACCAAAGTTTAAAAACATGAATTTGAAAAGTATGACGGGAAAACTTGTCTGGTCGCTCATTTGACCATGTTTTGTCGAAGAATGACGGGATTGGGGAAGGATGATGGACTGTTAATTCTTTGCTTTAGGCTAGTTTGACAGGGCAGTTGCCAGATGGTATAATCAATTGACTTGAGCTAAAATAGGGTCTTGGAAGGATTTGGAAAATGAATTTAAAGAACAGTACCAGTATGTTATTGACATTATGCCTGATCGTGTTACTCTTCAGAATATGGAGATGAAGCACAATGAGACCTTTCGTCAATATGCTCAGCGCTAGAGGGTCATTGCTGCTCAAGTGCACCCACCAGTTATTGAGAGGGAGTTTATAATGATGTTCATTGATACATTAAAATCTCCCTATATTGATCATATGTTAGGAGTGGTGACTAAGAGTTTCTATGATATCGTGATGTGTGGTGAATTGATCGAAAGAGCACTAAAGAAGGGACAAATTGCTGGTAGCCAAAATCCTGCAAAGAAACCTTATATGAAAAAGAAGGAAGGAGAGGTGAATAACGTAAATTTCTCTGTGACTAAGACAAAAACAGGAAATGTTTAATCGCTAGGAGAAACTAAGCGTGAGAATAACAATGAAAGAATGGTGTTCACTCCTATACCAATGACCTACAGTGAACTTTTTCATGGATTAGTCCAAGCTCATGTAGTGTCACCAAAATATCTAGATCCAATCAAACCATCTTATCCAAAGTGGTTCAATAAAAATGAGACATGTGAATATCATGCAAACCTTTAAGGACATAATATTAGAAAATGTCTCGCGTTTAAAAGGGTGGTTGAGGATCTGATTAGAAGAAAAGTAGTGTCATTTATTGACTCAAAGACACCTTGTGTGACTACGTACCCGCTTCCGAATCATCATAATCAGGGAGTGAATACCATTGAAAAGAATCAAAGAATTAAAAGAATGATTGAAGAAGTGAGAATGCCATTGGAGTGGGTATATGTTCAAATAAAGAAAAGAGGGTTGTTGAGTCCCATAAATAAATGTTCAATTGAAAGATCAGAAAACTTCTGTGAGTACCAGAGGAAAATGGTCATCAAATTCAGGATTGTCAGGAATTTAAGAAGATAGTCAAAAAATTTATGGACATGCAGGAGTTACAATTATGTGAAGAAAGGATAATCGAGAGTAAAAGATATATCTACACTTCTGAAGAAAGTATAGGAGAAATTGAAAAGAAATTAAAGAAACCAGTCCTGGTCATATCCAAGCCAAATTACAAGGAAAATATTAGAAGTACAACCTCTAAGGTGGTGATTAAAACCTCGATGCCTTTTTCCTACAAGAGTGACAATAGCGTTCCTTGGAATTATACATGCCAAATTAATAATCCAGAAAGCAAGGATGAAGATTGATGAAGTTGTATTTTTTACCAGGAGTGAAAGATGTTATGCTCCTGGAAAAGCCAATAAAGCAAGAGCCGTGGTTATTGACGATCCTGAGGAAATAGTAAATGAACCTGTCAAGATGGAAGAGGCTTAGGAGTTTTTAAAGTTTTTAAAACACAGTGAGTATAACATTGTGAAACAACTTTATAATACCTTAGCATGAATTTTGATGTTATCTCTCATATTGCATTCTGAGTAACATATAAATACTTTGATCAAGGTGCTAAATGAAACTTTTGTGGGGAAAGGCATTTCAGTGGAACGTGTGGACAGATGGTAAACCATATTAATGCAAATAATTTCATTTATTTCTATGATGATGAAACACCTGAGGAAGGAAAGGGTAGATGCAATGCACTACACATTACTGCCCATTGTAAAGAGGTTATCATCTTTGGGGTGTTAATTGACAATAGATCGGCCTTGAATGTTAAGCCATTTACCACTCTCAATAGACTTCCTATAGATACATCTCAAATGATATGGCAATGCTGTAAGGGTGTTTGATGGGACAAATGTAAAATAATGGGGAAAATGATTATTTCTATCAAAGTCGGCCCTAAGATATTTGAAATAGAGTTATTGTCATGGATATACATCCAAGTTACAATTGCTTGTTAGTAAGACCCTGGGTTCACATGGTTGGGGCAGTTCCTTCTTCCCTTCACCAAAAGCTTCGATTTATCATTGATGGGACTCTAGTAACCATCAAGGCATAAGAAGATATCATTTCCTCTATCACTACTGATGTACATATATAGGGGTAGATGAGAATGCACTAGAGTCTTCATTTAAATCATTGGAAGTTGTTAATGCCACTTTTGTCCTTGAAGGCAAAAGAATTCAGATTCCTCAACTTTCGAAGAATACAAAGATGTTGTTAAAAGAGACAATAGCTAGAGGAGAAAAATTAGGGAAAGAGATATGTAAGAAACTTCAAGGGATCATTGAAGGTTTGAATCCAACTTACTATGATAAAGTCAGATATACATAAAAGCTTAGGGAAAGAAAGAATGTGAGAGCCCAAGGTGAAGACATTGTTTGGGGGACCATGATTATACCACCACTTTTCAAATCTTTTGTGTGGAGGATTTGTGACTGACACACTGCAGTAGTCAGGGGAAAGTGAAGAAATGAGAATTAGAAGCCTGAGCATCAATGCCATCACAGATGATTCGACCGGAGAATGCTCGTTGGCATCAATTTTCCCATGTCCTCTTGATTATGTTGGGATCAACTATACTATTGAATAACTCCCCATGTTCTATAAGCACTTTTCAGAGTAATGCATGAATAACAAATCTATCTTTTAACCCAAATATAATGGAATTGTTGTATTTGTCATGGTTTCAATAAAATGATGTTTTATCTTCATTCTCTTCATAGCAAATATTGCATTCAATTATTTAAATTCTTTATTTTTATTGATAATTATTCTTTTGGTAAATATTAAATAAAAGTTTTGTCCATAGCCAAATATATTTATTTTCATTCGCAGGTTTTCAGATATCAAGTGTTCGAATAGTGATATTTTTGAACCACAAATTGATTTTGAAAATAATATATGTATTGAAGAATTTTAGGGTTATAAGGATGATGAGGAATGTGAATGAAATCCTGAACTTGTTAGAATGATAGAGCAAGAGGACAAGCAAATATTTCCCCATAAAGAGAAAACATAAATAATAAATTTGGGAACAGAAGAAGACAGAAAAGAGGTGTAAAGATGTGTTTGCTTCTACGAGAGTGTAAAGATGTGTTTGCTTGGTCTTATCAGGATATGCCAGGATTGGATACTGACATTGTGGTGCATAAGCTACCAATAAAACCAGAGTACAAGCCTGTTCAATAAAAACTTTGAAGAATGAGATCAGACATGCTATTAAAAATTAAAGAAGAAGTGAAGAAACAATTTGATGTTGGATTTTTACAGGTATCCAAATACACTGAATGGGTAGCAAACATAGTGCCAGTCCCAAAGAAAGGTGGCAAAGTTCGGATGTGTGTAGACTATCGAGATTTCAATCGAGCAAGTCCCAAAGATAATTTTCCACTGCCACATATTGACACTTTGGTTGACAATACAACTGGTCATGCTCTTTTCTCCTTCATGGATGGTTTTTCAGGGTACAATCAAATCAAAATGAACCTTGAAGATATGGAAAAGACAACATTTGACAATGTGGGGCATATTTTGTTACAAGGTGATGCCTTTTAGACTCGAGAATGCCGGGGTAACATATCAAAGGGCCATGGTTACTTTATTCCATGACTTGATGCATAAAGAAATAGAAGTATACATGGATGATATGATTTCCAAATCACAAACCGAAGAAGAACGTGTGAAAGTTTTAAGGAAGTTATTTTTAAGATTAAGAAAATACCAACTAAAACTTAATCTAGCCAAGTGCACTTTCGGAGCTACTTCAAGGAAATTATTGGGATTTGTAGTCAGTAAAAATGGGATAGAGATTGATCCTGATAAAGTTAAAGTAATCTTGGAATTACCAACCCCTAAAACACAAAAAGAAGTATGAGGATTTATGGGGAATTTAATTATATTTCCAGATTCATCTCTCGGTTAACGGAGAAGTGTGATCCAGTCTTCCGATTATTGAGAAAGGAAAACCCAGGAGAATGGGATGATAGTTGCCAAGAATGTTTTGATAAAATTAAGAGTTACTTAACTAATGCTCCAGTCCTAATGCCACCAATCCCAAACAAACCATTGATCTTATACTTGACTGTCTTCGAAAAGTTAATGGGATGTGTACTAGTACAACATGATGAAATTGGAAGAATAGAATGAGCTTTTTACTATCTCAGTAAGAAATTCACTGACTGTGAGAGTCGATATTCCTCAATTGAAAAGTTGTATTGTGGTTTGGTATGGACTACTAAGAGACTGAGATAATATTTGTTGTATCACAGAACCTGGTTAATATCAAGATTGGATCCATTAAATATCTGATGGAATCAACTGCTTTAACTAGAAGAATGGCAAGATGGCAAATGTTGTTATCCAAATTTGATATAGTATATATAAATTAGAAAACAATAAAAAGAGGTGCTATTGCTGATTTCTTGGCAAGAAAAGCATTAGAAGACTATGATCCAGTAAAGTTTGATTTTCCAAATAAGGACTTAATGAGTATATTTGCGGCGGAAGAAAATGCTCCGAATAATGAATCTTGGAAAATGAACTTCGATGGTGCCTCAATACTGTGGGACATGGAATTGGGGAAATACTAGTTTCACTAGAAGAAGATCATTATCCTTTTACTAGTAGGCTCTCATTTGAATGTACAAACAACATGGCAGAATATGAAGCATGTATCTTGGGTATTCAAGCAGCAATTGAGCGTAAAATTAAAATCTTGGAAGTATTTGGTGATTCTGCTTTGGTCATTTATCAACTTCGAGGGGAATGGATGAATCAAGACTCCAAATTAATTGAATACAAATACTTGGTGATGAATTTGATCAAGGAGTTTGAAGAAATTTCTTTCACTTATCTTTCTCGTGAAGAAAATCAAATGGCGGATGCTCTGGCCATGTTGGCAGCCATGTTTAAAGCTGATGATCAGTCTCGAATTATACCTATTCAAATGAGTATAAGAAAAATGCCAGCTCATTGTTGCAACATTGAGGAAAAGAAGGAAGAGGGTCTCCCTTGGCATTACAATATTCTCTAGTATATGAAGTATCAAGCTCATCCAGCTGAGGCAACTAAGAATGAAAAACGAACTTTGAGAAGATTCGTAATGGAGTATGTTCTCGATGGAGACATTTTGTACAAAAAAAAGCAAAGATTAGGTTCTTTTGAGATGTGTGAATAGAATTGAGGCCAAGAAAATACTTGAAGAAGTTCATGAAGAAGTTTGTGGAACACATGCAAAGGATTCACAATGGTTAGGCAAATCATGAGGTTTGGATATTACTGGTCCACTATGGAAGGAGATTGTATCAGATTTGCTCAAAGATGTCATAAATGCCAGATCTATGACAACCAAATACATGTTCCTCCTTCACTACTCCATGTAATGAATGCACCTTGGCCATTTTCAATGTGTGGCATCGATGTAATTGGAGCAATTTCACTGAAGGCTTTAAATGGACATCGTTTTATCTTAGTGGCCATTGACTACTTCACCAAATGGGTTGAAGCTGCCTCTTATGCTAATGTCACAAAAGAAGCAATTTGCAGATTCTTAAAAAAAGAAATAATTTGCTGATATGGAATACCAGAAAGGATCATTACATATAATGCATTGAATTTGAACAATGATTTAATGAAGGAAGACTGCATAAATTTAAGATCAAACATCATAATTCAGCTCTTTATCGCCCAAAAATGAATGGGGCAGTAGAGTCAGAGAATAAAAACATCAAAAAGATCATCACAAAAGCAACTGAAACATATAGTGACTGGCGTGAGAAATTACCTTTTGCACTGCTTGCTTATCGCATATCTACTGGGTAACACCGTTTTCTTTGGTATATGGGATGAAAGCAGTTTTACCTGTTGAAGTAGAAATTATTTCTTTGAGAGTATTGATGGAATTGAAACTTGATGAGGCTGATTGGATACAAAGTAGATTTGATCAGTTGAATTTGATTGAAGAGAAAAGAATGAGAGCTATTTATCATGGCCAAATGTACTAAAGAAGGATGATGTAAGCTTATGACAAGAAGGTCAGGCCTTGAGAATTTCATGAAGGTGATTTAGTGCTGAAAAAGATCCTCCCTATGAAAAAAGACTTTCGAGGGAAATAGATGCCAAACTGGGAAGGTCTTTATGTTGTAAAAATAGCCTTTTCAGGAGAAGCTTTGATTTAGACTGAAATAGATGGAGAAGATTTGCCTAATCCTGTGAATTCTGATTCAGTCAAATGATATTACACTTGAAGAAGAAGAAAAATAAAAAAAGAAAGAAAGAAAAAGAAAGGCGGGTTCAAGATGAAAACCTAAAATGAGTGTCTTGAAACCAAAGGAGGATTCGAGTTGAAATTCCATAATGGTCGGCTCGAATATTCAAGATTTAAGATGATTGATTCCCTCGGAAGCCTAATATTTAGGGAAAGATTCTCATACTCATACATCTTTTATACGATCTGAATCTTCAAGACACATGTTAACTTTCAAGAAAGATTTGGATGAAGAAATATAATGATTCAACATTTGATATCCACTGTATTTATCCTTTGTTCTTCCTGTGATGTTTACTTGTTTCTTGTCCCAAAGGATTATACTTTTGCCTCTTTTAAATGAAATGTTTTGAGTTTGATTCATTTCTCATTGCATTCAAAAATAGTGATCAATAACAACATCATTTATTATGCTT